ACAATGTGAAAAGATATGAATCTAATCTGCGATTGATGTTTAAAACCCAATCAAGACACGTGTAAAATATATGCAAGTTTTATTAAGACAAAACATAGCTTCTGGAAAAGCGATTGAGATCTAACCGGACAATCTAATACTCTAAGGGCATTCAAAAATTTGGGTATTCACGTTTTCGTACTCCACTTCAGATCAAAATTTGAGAAGACTAGGATCTAACCATTGGCACAGATAATTTTGCAGATTTTCAAAATTTCGAGAAATGAAAAAATTACCAAGCAATTAGCAATTACCAAGCAATTCAATTACTAACTAAAATGTTTATGCTTTCCCCAATTTAATCGTCTTCCAATCTTTTCGGTAATCAACTTGATTTTGTTAAATAAAGTCCTGGATTTCTACCTCGGATTTTAAATGCTTCTGATATCGAAACACTATAAACCATAATTCATGTTCATTGTATATGTATATTATAGAGTATAATATGTTTTATTTTCTCGGCTTTATCCAGTTCATGCCAGTTTGGCACTAGTACTATACCTTACTTCTATCCGCAATTTTCGCTAGTCGCAAGTTTGGTTCGCTATAACTCTCAAAGTGTTGATATTAATTATGCAACTTTAATCAGTAGTTTCATGTTTGTGTTTAAATTGATAGGCTATTTTTTTGTAGCGTGAATTTCCCATAATCAACAGTAGCGGATAATTATTTTCCTGCAGAAACCAAAATTCGTGTATACTTGTTTAGGGGTAGAGTAGAGGATTTTTCAAAATATTAACCCATAACTTGCCTACCCACGACATATAAAATAATTAGCAGAAAACAACCCTGCTCAATTTTTTAAACTCTGGGCAGAAAGTTTGTCTACGCCGTAAGAATTACAACTCAAATTACGCAAAATACTACCTACTTCTTCGGGGTTAGATATTTTAAAACATAATGAGTTCGAGTCGTCAAGCACTTTTGGTTCAAAACAATATATTTGATTCTTGCAGTTATTAGATATAGTTTATAGGAAACTTGGACAGACAAGTGTAGAGGAATTTATGTGGCTTTCATATTATATGCTGTAGAGACATAATTCTATAAAAAAATATATAAATCATTCGAAAGCCGTTAAGTTTGATGATCAATTTACTGAAACGATTTCCGGACATCTATGTATACAATATTGATCTGTCGTTTTTTGTCCAAATTTTTTAAGTTATAATGAGTACTATAGACAAAGTTAATAGAGGCAGTCTCCTCCATGAAACTGTGTTAATTTCTAAAAGGTCCTGCGAATAGGTTAATCTAGGAAAGAAACCGTTTTCCGTTGCAGAAGTCAATTTTTACACCACAAGCGGCAGGTTTTTTTCTCGTTTTGGCCGCATTAGCACACGCCACTGCTGCCATTAAATCAAATCATTTTCTACGATACTGTTCAGATAACAAGCAAACTGAGGATTTTTTTGGTGCGTCTGTACGCAGATCTAAACCCAAGCATTCAGGTTTTTGAATACGCACACATTAACGCGATCATAAACGTTAGTGACCGAGAGGCCTCAACAATAAATGCAACAGCACAGTGCGCTGGGAACAGCGCCACCCATTTCATGCGCGCTTCATGCGTTATTTGCGGAGTTTTTTGAGCTTCGTATATTAACAATATTTACGCGAACTGAACCAAGTATTTTAACAATCGACGTTTAATAAAAGCTAGTAGTGCAAGTACGCGTCGATTATATTCTTGTTCTTTATGTCATCGTAGTTTCTGTATATGTGAATCGTTAAAGGAGAAAATAATGACAGAAAGTCGAGAACTTCATGAGAAAACGTTAAAAACTTCTTGCTTGCTTCAATAGAGCAGAGATGACAAAAACATTAGATTTTGTCACTTCGATTTAAGTATGGAGGACCATATTTATCATAGGGAAACTGTCCTCTTCAATCCTTATTTGAATGTCAACATCTAAAAATGTGCATATCAACTATTGGTTCGATAAGGCGAGAGTTATTAGAAACCAGTAAAAAATTTTGAGTTGCTGACACGACCGTCAATAATTTGCAACTGCAGAATAGGCGTAAAATTAAAATGTTTAACCCGTCCAGCAGTAAACGCGTGCGTGCGATTAGTGCTCAGCAAACAAAAAAAATCTAAGATCCCAACAGTTTCCCGCCTTCCGGTAGCAGGAGATTCATTCCCTCACGCCGTAAAACCACCCCCCAAGGGTAACCTCACGGTTATAGTAAACGTTCCTGGAAAACATAGTTCTCAGCGGGAAGAAAAAAAATAGTCCAGCGCCATTTTTGGCAGCGATTATCTCGCAAATTCTTAAAGTGCAAACACAAAATGAACAGAATCGAAATTAAACAAAAGCTCTTTCTATAAAAGACAAGACAAGAAAAGTGTTAGTAGTCATATAAAAAATAATTTAATTTCTCACAATCCTTGAGGTAACGTTCTAGGTCCGTTTTTTTAGTTTTCCCGCGTAGGTCTACTCCACTAATGAAGTATAACTTTTTAGTCATCTGAATCTACAATGTCGTCCATCTTAACGGTATTTAAGCAACTCTGTCCATTACAATTAGAGCAAGTTTTTGTGCAGCATCAACCAGCTTTCACACAGCTGCAGGAGATGAGTTGAGAGTTGTAGCTAGCGGTTGAGTCTTAACCACTGGCATTAGAATTTAGTTAGTTTTTCTCTAGCCTCGTTCAGTTCTTCCGCAAAGTATATCCGCAGAAATTCATTTCGACGTGATGCGCATAAGAATTTGTTGAGTAATCCTACCAACGAAGAGCGTTTTTTTGGTCAACTGATGAACACATTAATATCACCAGGAATTTCTCCTCTATCTGCTAGCTGCAACAATTATGAAAAGCCCGGTGTTGTTGGACATGGATCGATTTGCTTAAACTCATTATAGGCGTTTCTCCGCCGGACAAAGACATTCGCTTTTCGAAAGATGTTCAAGGAAATATTAAGGAAATTCAACATGGTTGCGACATTACCCTTTTTGGAAAATCATAGACCATAAATTTAACAAATGCATGAAACTATTTACAAAAGATGATATGCCAGAGCTGCAGAGAAATTTGCAGCAGCACTTTGCAAGACACCCCGACATCTTTGAACCTCTAGCGGTTCATTTTATTTACTAAATTACTTGCTAAATCGAGCCACCAATATGCAATTAAATATATGTCATTAAACAACTTATTTTCATTTTATCTCACTATTTGTCGTGGTGAAAAATTTAAAACTTTAATAATCCGCAATTTTTAAATATCTTCTTTCGAAATAGCTAAAGGAATACATTTTTATAATTAGAAATGGGCACAACAAAACTCACCGACCAAAGCTATAAACGAGATGTATATTCGATATGACCTATACCTACTATACTATATATCAAATTGTGATGTCATCGATAGTTTCATTTTCGGCACGCTTTACACATTTTTTAATAAGTAAAGATTAAGACCTATTTTGTAGTTTATAAATTAAGGCGCTTGTCATTAATTTCCTGGCGCTCTTTTTAGATTTTCGACACTTTGAGAAAAAGGCGCAATAGTTGCATGTCATTTACGTATAATCTTTTCTGACAGTGCTGAAAAATTTACTAGATGTAAAATGAAACCCCAAACTCCAAAGAGCAATGTGCCGTACTTTGAAAACACCACACGCGCCACGTAACTCAGGCCTATTGATCTAATTTGAGATATCGATTACATAAAATATCTCGCAAATTTTCAAAGATTTTTTGGAATTTGGAATATATAAGGTCAATTTTCGACTAAGATTAATATGTTAAGCTGAGCCGTCTTTCCGATACATTTGTGGAAGCAAAGGAATTATGAAGAGGTAAGAAATTGTTGTTCATATTTAACTATTTGCTTTAACTAATTTTGCGAAACTATAATATTATTTTCATTTTCCTATATCTTTGGGTATATGCGAGGTATTCCAAATTATGGTTCAAAAGAGGAATAAAATAATTATATTAGCACATACTGAAAAGGGGTTTTTCTTTGAGAGCGAGCCTCAAATGCTTGTAGATGACAAAGCCATTAAAATCATATTTATTGAATTAATGTAACAGCAAATTTTAGTTGCTGAAAATAAATAGTATATTATGCAACAAGTGCGGTAAACGGCATTTGACCCACGAGTTTATTTTACACGAGCGGAGCGAGTGTTTAATAAACGAGTGAGTTAAAAAGTTTACCGAACGTGTTGCATACTATACTTTTTCTACGACCGTCAGTTTTTGGGTACATTTTCGTAAAACTCGAATACATTCATACATTCACTGACTTGCCTGTCAGAATTGGCCAACGTCAAAATTCAAAGCGTGGGAAACATCTCCGAAAATATCCGATTGCTCCCAAACCCGTGCGGTAAAATCCCGGAAATGTCCGAAGTCGCTCGGATTCGTGGGAAACGAAACTGACGTTGTGCTTCCCGCACGCTAGATCGGTGCGTAATTAGGTATTTTACAGAGGGGAGTAGAAAAAATAATAAAACGCATTAAAATGTAAATTTCTTATTAGCTTGGGACTATTAATATAGACCTAGTTCATTCTTGAATAATTTAGTTTTTTTCAATATGTCTGCAAGGACTCACTGTAAAATGATTTTAACATCACAAAATTATAGTTTTCTTTTTGCTTCAATACAGACTTCTAGGTTTAGCTATCTCTTGGTATTGGGGTAATTTATAATGGGCCATAGTATTTTCGAAGCTCGCTAGAGTCCAATTTTCTTTCTTTCCTGATTACCAATTATTTTTTTAAAATATTTCTTCTGAACTTGAGACTAAGTCTCAAGGTGGTCTAAATGGCGAAATCTTGCTCCAATGAGCAAAAATGTTGTGATTATTTTCAGTTTTATGGGGCCCTTGGTGTGGGCGCTGTGTTTCCTTTCCATTATAAACCTGACAGTCGCTCAGGGCAAGAGCAGCCTTATAAGGGAAGATCTCCTTAAGAAACTCATTTGGAAAGGATGAAAATGCAGTATCGTGTTTGGGCAGCAGGTTAACTACATTTTCTGATTCTCACGAGCATATTTTCCGACGGTAATATTACAGGCGGTGGTCTTGATCCAAAATCGCATCAGGCAACTGCGGCAGCTTTTGGCAAAGCAAATAAACACGCAATTCGTTGGGCAAACACGTCACTACTTTACGAGTTGGCTTCGAAGGAAATATTAAACGCCTTGGGGTGCGCAAACAAGAAAGTTGGTATCAAGTGAACTGTTTTCACAGTCAACCTTTCATTCTTAGGCACACAAGAAGACCAGAAATTTTATCTGAACTAAAAAACATAGACGTATCTGATCTGCTTCCCGCTACCAAATACGCAACAGACTCGAACTGTCGCGACTCGGGGCCATGCGATGCTTCTTCGCCATATAGAACTCAAACCGGATATTGTAACAATCTTGACCAACCTGACTTGGGAACTAGTTTGTCTAATTTTAGACGATTAATGCCGAGTGCTTACGACGACGGTAAGGCTTATAGATATCAATTTTTATTGCCTAACTGAATGATTATTGTTTCATGCAGGCATTTCCGCGCCTAGAATAACCGCAGCAAGTGGAAATCCACTACCAAACCCCGACCTATTTCTACAACTGTCCACCCCGACGTTTCCCATTTGAGTAACAATTATACGATGTTGATTATGCAGTTTGCTCAGTTTTTGGACCACGATATTACCTTAACGCCCCTAAATCAAGGATTTGAGAAATTTATTCCATCCTGTAGACCCTGCGACAGCAAGCAAACCGTGCATCCTGAATGTAACCCGTTTCAAATACCTCCAGATGATGACTTTTTCCATCAATTCAATAGTACCACCGGTGAACAAGCATGCTTCCCGTCTATGAGAACTTTACAGGGGCAAAGTACACTCGGCTCTAGGGAACAAGTCAATCAAAATACTCCGTATTTGGATGGATCAGCGATATACGGCGAGAATAACTGCGTACTTCAAATGGTTAAAGGGGAGAATGGAAGATTAAACGCGTCAGATCTCGGTGATGGATTTAAAGATTATTTACCCAGAACTACCACTAATGTGGAATGCAAATCTGCATCAGGATTATGTTTCTATGGCGGAGATGGTAGGGCTTCGGAACAGGCAGGTTTGTCGATGATGCACACGATTTTCTTGAGAGAACACAATAGAATAAATGATGCCTTGCAAACGTTAAACCCATCCTGGAGCGCAGATAAGCGATTTAATGAAACTAGAAGGATAGTTGTTGCCATCTTACAACACATCACTTATAACGAATTTTTACCGAGGATTCTCGGAGACGGTCAGCTGGACGATTATGGGCTTAGACTATTAGATGACGGATTCAATGTGAATTATGATCAGAATTGCAGTGCGGACACATATACAGAGTTTGCAGCAGCTGCTTATAGAATTGGTCACTCGCTTCTACGGGCTCGAGTTCCAATGTTAGACAATAATTTCACAAATGTGGATCCTCCACTACTATTAAGAGATTCGTTCTTCCAAACCGACCGACTTTCTGCTGTAAGTAGTTTGTTGAAGTTAAATAATTCGTATTGATGTTTGCATTGCTTCTAGCCAAACATCATCGATGACATAGCCCGTGGCATCAGTTCGACGCCAATGGAAGATCTAGATCGATTTGTTACGAACGAAGTTACAAATCATTTGTTTGAAAATACAAGAGTAAACTTCACTGGTGTCGACTTAGTTGCTTTAAATATTCAGAGGGCCAGGGATCACGGTATTCCTCCCTACAACGACTATCGAGCATACTGTCTTAACTCTCGTGCTGACACCTTCGATGATTTATCAGACACAACGGCTGCGGATGCCATAGAACAATTACAACAAGCTTTAGAGAGCGTGGACGACATTGATTTCTTCCCCGGTGGATTGACCGAAAATCAGTTACCTGGTGGCCTGGTGGGGCCCACTTTTGGTTGCATTATTGGTCTGCAGTTTGCTCGCCTAAAACAATGCGATCGATTTTGATATATAGCCGTTAATACAATTATATTTGTAGTTTACGTCAAATGCAAATGTATTTTAGGTACGAAACTCAAGATCGTGTGGTAGGATTTTCAGAGCAACAACTGGCTGAGATAAGAAAAATTACGTTTTCCAAATTGATATGCGATAATATCGACGGTAATAATGACATACACGCCATTGCTTTTAATATACCGTCAGATTCATCAAATCCAAGAGTGCCGTGTGATTCGCTTCCGGCACCGGATCTTTCGGCATGGCAGGAATAGATATTTATTTTACGCCATATTAGTTTTTATTGATTCTTTGAATTAGAAATAAATAGTCATTTATATGTATAATTAATTAATAATCATGCACATACCTATCCGAACTTCCGCTCAACAAAATTTATACTCTGCTTACCAACGGTTTGGTGTCGAAACGCCAACTATATAATTTAAATTATCTTGTCCTGGGTACATATCTTCGTTTCGAACTTTGTTCTTTCGCGTAGTATTATCAGAATTGTTGCATCATAATTACGCAAAATCATTATCGAAAGTATGGTATAAAAATAAAACACTATAAATTGTGTATTGTAATATATATCGGGTTGTCCAAGAAAAAAAAACGCAAAATATATATTAAAATACGTAATATACAAAATTATACAGCTCTAAGAAAGAGTTTTAGTCGAATACATGAGTACGTAACGGAAATCTGCATGGCTTTATTGAAAATACAAAGAAATCAAAGAATAATATAAATAATACAAAGAACACTTATTATTTTAAATTCATTAAGTGTATCTTTTAGGTCAAGTTACTTTTGAACTCATAACCTGAATTTAAAACGAAACTTTAAAAAAGGGTATATTTCAACTCCGCGTTATTAATAGTATATTATGCAACAAGTGCGGTAAACGGCCTTTGACTCACGAGCTTATTTGATATGCGCGGAGCGCACCGGAGCGAGTGTTTAATAAACAAGTGACCTAAAAAATTTACGAGAAGTGTTGCTTACTATACTTTTTCTACCATCGTCAGTTTTTGGATTCATTTTTACAGAACAACTCGAATATATTCGCTGACATGACTGTCAGAATTGACAAACGTCACAATTCAAGGCGTAGGAAATATCTCCGAAAACATCCGATTGCTCCCAAACCCGTGCGAAAAAATCACGGAAATGTCCGAAGTGGCTCAAATCCGTGGGAAACGAAACTGAGGTGGTAAAGTGACGCTTCCCGCACGCTAGATCGGTGTGTAATTAGGTATTTTACAGACGGGAGTAGAAAAAACTGTTACAAAACCTATACGAGCTTTAAAAATATTGCATCTTACAAAGCAAAATACGGCAAAATTAGTAATGACATTTTTTTGGCACATACAACACAAAAACGGTCAATACGAACAACTCCATTCAACGTTCAGAAATACATAGTTTGCCAGAATCGTTCAAAAAGTCAAAGGCTAGGCCCAGTCATGAACACTAATAGAGAAAACAAAATTAAAACTATATATTTTTTTATTTTTGTTCAAGAGTAGGCGAACTTGATTTAATCGCATCCGAAATTAAATATTATGTTTCATACTATTTGATAGAAACACGTAAAACAATAAATAAACATGTACATCGGGATTTTTGGTTAAAAAAGTTAAAGACAGGTTTGGGGATCGAATTAGCGAATTCCTCAAGAAGGAACCTAGAAGCTAGAAGAACCTAGTATTATTTTTGAAACAGTTTTCTAAGGAGCAAACTATTAAACCAGTAGTGCGTCACAGTCAAACGAAAGCGTCCAACTATTTATCCTTTGGTCCGTCAGGAATGACGACGATTTGCCAAAATATTAAAATGGAAATAAATGGCTTACCAAGTAATGTAGAATTTAAAAATTATGTTACGATTACAAAAAGCATATTCCAAATAATTTTTATTTTTTAATAAGTCTTCTTGTCTCCAGCGAAACATGTAATGCCAGGAAAGAAACAGAAATACTTAATATTTGTCAAGACATCATCTTTGCGAGTTCAAATGGAAAAAAGTATACCCCTAAACACTGTTAGCCCATCAGTAGACCAGGTCAAAAAACTCGTTGAAACCATCCACGTTTATAGTCACTCAATATCCATCATGGATACTCTAAGCGTCGCTCAAGAAGAAATCCAACTTTATTTAGAAAGCGATTACGCAATTATCCCAATACAATTGGTATCCGATAGATTTGTAGAGTTTGCTGCAGATACTATAGATATATTAAAAGAAACTTTGGAGAAACACACGAAACACAAATGGTAGCATTTCAATAAATGACACTATACCTGGAAACTCTAAACTTTTGCCATATAATGTAAAATTGACGATTCCTCAGAATAATGAATTCCATTCAAATACAAAAATATTCTATAACAAGTCTAAAAAAGTGGTACAAGCTGAGGAAAATCGAGGCATTTTTATAGAAAAAGATCAAAATCTTAGTTACGACATTACATATCAAAACAGAGCTTGGTGAATAAGCAAGATGAGCGACTCTGATAATGAAGAGATGAGTTTTCCACAATGGTCAAGATTTCATAAATTAATCCCGGACCAGCACTAAATATCTCTAATTTATCAGACACTGAAACAAATTCAGGTTGAATGAAGAGTAAAAAACGTAATATCAATTATCTTAATAAATCAATAACCTATTATTTTCGTCAATATCGGATTGGAATGAGAAGAAGGATTTTTTAGATAAACTTTTTACTTCTACTTAATTTTAGTGTTCTCATCGATATAATTTTTGTTTTTATTCTAGATTCTATGTATTCTTATGTATTATTAGTTTAATATGAACTGTTGCCAATAAAATATAATACTATATTCCTATGTAACAACTAATTAATTAAAAGATTCAACTATGAGGGCAAATACGTGTCATATTTGCCGTGAAAGCGGGTCTACAAGCAAAAACGACCCTAAGCGCACGCCGGAACCGCTAAGTCGTTTATTGCCTGACTTTCCTCGCAAATCTGACCCTTTCTTTGCTAATAAAAAAAGACATCCATGAAAATGGGGTTTTTGAAAAAGTAACGGATTCGTTGATCTTCAATGCATATGGTATATAGAACATACTTTGCTGATAAACCAAGAATTTATTACATGAAAGAATTTTAGTTGTATAGAATAATCGAATAAAATTTGATGTTCGGTTTCGTGATTGTGTTCATCAACTTGTCTTAAGGTTCTTTTACATTCTTTGAGCCTAGTTGTTATTTTTTGTCCGATCTCTCCAATGTGTTCTTTGCGGTATAAAGTCTTGGTATCTCAAACGGAATTTTCTCTTTTACGGATTGAAGATGAAGAATTTTAGGAAAGTGGTAAATCTGTTTTTCAAGTTATGTTTGTTGTAAATGTTATTAGGCTTTATGGTCAAGAATCCTTCCGAGATTTTCTTTGCCAATTTAACTATATACACCCAAACATACGTTTTACCGATACCTCAATGCATTGTCACATCACTAGCCTCAACCAGGCTCAAAGGACATGAAAGAAGCTCAAGATTAAGACAAATAAACGCATTAGCAGTTGCCGAACACAATCACGAAACCGGACATAAAATTTAATTCGATAAAACTAAAATTCTTCAATGTAATAAATTCTTTTACCAACGAAAAACCTTCTATAGAAATGTATAAGCAACCAAACAATCTTAACCGCCACTCAGGTCAGTCAGGACTTTAAGTGCCCCCAAAGAAGAAGTCCATCGGACTTAGGTCTGGTGAGCGAGGCGGCCAAGGTAAAGGCCCGCCGAACCTATCAATTGATGTTAAATATAAATGTAAAATGGGGGGAGCGCCATCTTACATTAACCACATGTTTTGTCTCCGCTCCAAGGGTACCTCTTCCGGCAAAGGTAGTAGTTCCTCCTAAAGAAATTGCAAATACATTTCCCCATTAAGCGATCCTTAAAAAAATAGGTTCCTATAAGATTATTTCCTATAATCTCCGTCCATACATTGAAAGAAAACCGGCACTGATCTTTTCCTTCAATTTTTGCATGTAGGTTTTCAATATTCCATGCATATTCAAACTTCGAAAATTTGCAATGCCATCACGACTGAATGCAGTCTCGTCAGAAAAAAAATGACATTTCCGAATTAAGGGAAATTTTTTAATTTTTCCTAAAATTTAATTGCTCAAAATTACTCTAAATTGCTAAAGCCGTCGCGCTTGATCTGCATTCTCATTTGCTTTTCCGTAGCAAAAACGCATATCCTCGATACTCGTTATTGGAATATTTTTGATATACCAGCTTATTCCGTTGAGAATTAATCACACTGCGTTAAAAATAGAATTTAAAAAAATGAAATTTGACCAGCTATAACCCGGAAAATATTACGATTTCGAATTTTTGTTACATGACTTACTATCATTATTTTATCACGTTGAATCTTTCCTCGAAGTTTCCGAACTCAATTTCCGAACACCCTGTATAGATGGATAACTTGTTGTATATTTATATGGTGAACGGTACCTCGAAGACCCACACAATGATTTTTTAATTTAGAAATATGTCTAGTGAGGCTGCAGTTTCTGGATGTTCAGGTTGGCAGAAACCTGGGACAGCTGCTTTTGCATTGTGATTAGGACTTACTTCTTGTGTTTTTCTTAATGTCCTTAGAACTAGAACTACATATTATGCTAATACTAAGCAATCTCATACGCAATAAGCAAAAAGAGATTTTACCTCATAAAGAAGAATGATTTGACTGATAGCGGGTTTGGCTTTTAGAGAGGACTCTAATGACGCTTTTCGCTCACACTAAATACTTACCTAGACAAGAAGATCAATTTTACTTGAGCAAAGATATAAGCAACTATAACACAAGGATTAGGGATGATGTTAACATTGCTCACATTAAGCTAAAACGATGATAGGTTGTGCCAAAATATCTGAATGAAAAACTGTTCAACCAAATTTCAATAGTTGTTATTTCACTATCAAAGAAAGGAAAAGTGAGAAATTTTCTAACAGAGGGGACTTTCTATTCAATAGAGGAATTTTTCGATATATTAATGATTTGTTTTTATGTTAATCATATGTTCCTTGTATTTTACTTTTAGATTTATTTTAATGAACAGTGAATATCGATAATCGATAATCGGTAATTATAATTTAAATGTTGGTGCTCAATTTTTATTTTGTCTTATCTTACTGTGTATTGATTTGTGTAAACGTTTACGCGTATTAGCATCAATCAATTACTATTATTATTATTAACGTATGTTGCTGTTGCATTGCCTCTGTTACTCAAATAGTTTACACGGATTTAAATTTTTACTTACATTATAATATATAGTGTAGTGATGAATTAAACTCCGTTAATTGATGTACATGTTTTAAGTTTGTTATTCAAAACGATATGAATGTTATCTACAACTGAAGTTTAAAACACGAAAATATATGTGCAGATATATATCTCGCTTTTATATAAAAGCGATTAAAATCAAGCCGGAAAATACAATACTACAAGAACATTAAAAAATATTCTGATTATAATTGATAAACCCATAGGATATTACGTTTTCCATAGTCCAAAATTGATCAAAGAGTATTGTGGTGATATATCTATGATCCGACATAGAGTCCTCCACACAGACACACCACTCAGTTATTTTAGGGAGCAGAGCCCTGGTACAGAGTGTCAAGTCTGAAACCCAGCTCCGACCTGTCGTGAAAAATGTGGGTCTCTGTTGGCCACCTGCAGCCTTGCCGAGGCCATGAACTCCACTAGATCTCCCTTCTACGATTAGTCGCCGCGTTGCCTCCCAAAACGTGGTGAGCATTGCTATCGCAGCCCATCAAAAGAGAAAGATTCGCCTCCTCACAGTAGGAGACCAAGTCCCTGATCTCCACCCAAGGACAGCTGCGGTCGCCTGGAAAATACGCAGAGACGACCACTACTTCACGCCGTCGCGAGTGGGGGATCTGACCAGAAATGGAATCAGATCCCTGGAAGCCTTGTCCCTTAAGAAAAAGGCCTCCAGCCCCATGGTTAGTATGCAGGCCCTGGAATCGCCCCCTGAGGAGTCGACACCCCCTAACCCTTGATTTTACAATCCAGGGCTCTAGAATCAGTACAATGGATGTACCGTCCTCCGAAATTTTCCTGCACCAGTTTAGGTCCCTTGCCGCAGCTTGCGCATAATACTGAACCCCCCTGTCATAGCCATCCGCGACGGCTCGCCTTTCCCGGGCCCAGCATTCACCGGACAACGTGTCGGCCGCCGACCCCCGGCAGGTGCCCGGAACTGTGTCTGGGGCGGTGTGTTTTGACCAGGTGGTCTTCCCGGTTTGTATCGAGCCCTCCACCCCGCTCGCGACCTGGGGATCCTCCTCAGATCGCCCTTATAGGGACCTTCCTGAGAACGCCCCTGTTTGCTAGAGCCCTCCTGGGGCCCGTTCTCTCCTTCTTCCTTCTTTATTTTTTGTTTTTCTGTTTCCATATCGGTCCCACGAGCAGCTAGGGAAAAAACGGTCCGCCTGTGCAGAGCCCCGTATGCAGAAATAAGGCTTTCTTCCCCGAATTGCGCCCGGTGCCTCGAGGTTGGGATCCATAGAGGCTGATCTTCTATCCAGCCATGCATCCCCTAGACCCGACTCCCCACCTTATGATTTAGGATTATTATTGAGGTTTACTCTTTTTGGTCCAAGTGGTTAAGCTCTGACCCCCCGCGTCGCGTTCCTACCCGTACAGCCGGCACCCGACACAGTGAGGGCGCTCTGTTTCCTTTCCAGTATAAACCTGACAGTCGCTCAGAGCATAAGTGACGATCTCCTCAAGGACGCAGTTTCAAAAGTCAAAGATACTCATTTGGAAAGGATGAAAATGCAATATCGCGTTTGGGCAGCAGGTTAGCTACATTTTCTGATGCTCACGAGCATATTTCCGACGGTAAAATTACAGGCGGTGATCTTGACCCAAAATAGCATCAGCAACGGTCGCAGCTTTTGGCAATGCGAATAAGGAAGTATTAAACGTGAGGGGTGAACAAACAAGAGTGTTGGTATGAATTGTTTTGAATTGTTTTCACAAGAAGACCAGAAATTTTATCTGAAATAAAAAATATAGACGTATCTGATCTGCTTCCGGCTACCAAATACGCAATAGACTCAAATTGTAGCGACTCGGGGCCATGCGATGCATCTTTGCCATATTGAACTCAAACCGGATATTGTAACAATCTGGGCCAACCTGACTTGGGAACTAGTTTGCCCACTTTTTGACGATTGATACCGAGTGCTCACGACGACGGTAAGGCTTATAGATATCAATTTTTATTGCTTAACTGAATGATTATTGTTTCATGCAGGCATTTCCGCGCCTAGAATAACTGCAGCTAGTGGAAATCCGCTACCAAATTCCAGATCTATTTCTACGACGATACGATGTTGATTATAGAGTTTGCATAGTTTTTGGATCACGATATTACCTTAACATCCCAAAATCAAAGATTTGATGACTCTATTCCATCTTGCAGACCCTGCGACAGCAAACAAACCGTACACCCCGAATGTAGCCGGTTCCAAATACCTCCAGATCATGACTCTTGTCCCCATTCAATAGTACCACCGGCGAACAAGCATGCTCCCCGTCTATGAGAACTTTGCAGGGACAAAGTACACTTGGCTCCAGGGAACAAGTCAATCATAGGGAGAGAATAACTGCGTACTTCAAATGGTTAAAGGGGAGAATTGAAGATTAAATGCGTCAGATCTCGGAGATGGATCGAATGACTATTTGCCCAGAACTACTACTAATGTGGAATGCAAATCTACATCAAAATTATGATTCTGTGGAACCTGCTTCGGAACAAGCAGGTTTGATGATGATGCACACGATTTTCTTGAGGGGACACAATAGAATAAATGACGTCTTGAAAACTTTCAATCCATCCTGGAGAGCAGATAAGCGATTTAATGAAACTAGAAGGATAGTTGTTGCCATTCTACAGCACATCACTTACAACGAATTTTTACCGGCATGCTGTCTTATACTCTCCTTACCAACCGTTTTTGTTTTTAAAAACTATTCCTTTAGAACATAACACAAATTTAAAACACTACTTTATATAAACTAAAAAATTACAGAATAATAACCAACTCCAAAATCTCAAATCCCAAATCCGTTGTTCCTGCGGCGTGCCAGGTAGCTGGACCGTGGGCGTCGAAGAGTTCTAGAACGTTGAGGAATCACTCGCTTCTTAGTCAGCATTACTCAGCAGACAATGTAATACAATACTAATGACTTTGAGGTTCAATAATAAGGTTAGATTGTTGTAAACAGATTGAATTACTCCATATAACAACTCCCCTTTTCAAAAAAAAATTGTTATTTTAATTTTTAAAACAAAATAATTATACTAAATTTTTGATTGGAGTCAGAGCGATATCTCCTTCATCTTCTTCTATTGCTTCTCCAACTCTAATGCTTGGTCTTCTTTTTACGAGAATTCTTGGTAATCTTCGTAAAATGTTTTCTTCATTCTTTGGAGGTTGTAGTGGCGATGGTTGGTTTAAACTTCCAATAGCTAACTGTCTTTTACGATTTTTACATTTAAAGTAACAAAATAAAATAATTAAGCAAATGATTAATAGAATTGATAAATAAGTAAGCCATGGTGGAAATTTTTCAATATAAGGTTCATTTATTATATGGTCTAGAATTTTCGAATATTGATCAAGTTTATGTTTTGTAATTTCAAATTCATCAAAATTAATGTTACTTAACTTTAAAGGTCGTAAGTTAGGCAATTTTATTTTTTCTGGTAAATCTTTACAACAATCATACGGAATGATTACCGCCTGTGTTTCATAGGATATATTTGACAATTTGATTAAATCTGCTTGTACTTTTGTATTTCCAATAAAAGAACTACAGTAAGGATACAAAGTTAGAATTGTATTTTCTATAATACCTTCAGAACATGGTTCATGATGTGGGCATTTAATAGTAATTGGTAATTGTTCTGATACACTTATTAACTATTTGTTTGTTTTTAATTTTTGAATATTATATAACAAAACAATTTGACAAGTATTTGGAAGAGACAATTTACTTTTAAATGATTGAGTTTCGCATTGGGCATTTGTATCAATTGGATAATGAAATATATTTTGACATAATAATGCGTAATATGCGTTTTTACAATTTTCTATACTTTCAATAGGATTGTACATTTCTGAATCATAACCTTTCGCGATGTATTTTTGTGAAACAGATAAAATGTGATGTAATCCTGTTCGATTATCAAGAACCGGAATTTGAAATATCTTATACAACATATAATGTTCAGGTTCTAATCCATCTTCAGTTTGAAAAGCTTTAAATTCAATAATGCTTAAACAAGAGTTATGTCAAATGGCAAACTATTTCTTCTCAAGTTTTGCAACATGGTTTTTAAAGACATGGTTAAATATTTTGGAGTAATAATTGAAGTATGAATAACCTTTAATTTTGAGAATGTAATTGCGTTTAAAATATCATTCGTTATCTTCAATGAAGAGAAAAGATTCCATTAATTGTTCGCATATGTCTAAAATTTGTACCTTTGATTCGATAAATTTTAAATTATCCGATATATCATAAATTGATTCCTCAATTTCTTCAATATCCTTGGTGAAAGTCTCTTCGTCAATTTGTAATTTTCTTATAGTTTCATTAAAATCCTTAATAACTGATGTCGTTACTGGTATTTATTTTTTCGTTAACTCTTCAAATTGATGTTCATCCTTTTCGATTTTATTAATGCATTCATTATAATATTCTCCATCAGAAGCGTCTAAATTCCCCGTTATAAATTTCCACACAGATCCAAAAGCATTTATTAAACCACGTTTGTTTCTTATATGTGACTCATATCTCATAGAAACATCAAATTCTATTTCTGAAAACCTAGTTTCTAACGTATTTGATTATTGGGTTAGTAATGATAAATGTGTTTGCACTTCATCTTTGAAGGCATACATTCGATTATTTGAAGCTGTTACTAAACTAAGTAAGCTGTTTAATATTTTATTATTATTTTCAAATGAGTTCTTTAATTGTTTAGTATCCTTATATACAAAAAGCGTCCATTTATCGTTGGAAACGATAAGGCGATTAATGGGTTCATAGTAAACTCCTAAGGCATTTTTTATTTGTTGTAATTTATATTGTGCTTCTATTGATGTAATAACGATAAATAATCTGAAAAGAGAGAAAAGTTTCAATCAGTATCAATTTCTTGCATAGAAATATCATATTTATCTTCTTTTTCATAAAAAGATTTTAATCTGTCGAAATTGACTTGTTTTTACACCTGTTATTAAATTAAGAGCAATAGCTGAATTTTCAAAGATTTCTGTTAATTCAAATGGACCATTAAATTTATTAGCATATTTTCCTTTTATTTGCGATTCTTTGATATAAACTTTATCTCCTACTTGAAATTGATGTCGTTTAGAAACATGTCTATTAAATCTTTCCTTTGACCTTTGTTTTTGTTGTTCATTTTTTTCTCTTGCTTTATCATAATAATACTTAATTCGAGTATTTAGATCTCTTACATATTTTGTAACTAATTCTTTTTCATTATAGACTGTCTCCGGTGGTCTATTTGACGTATGGCCAAATATTAATTACCATGGGGTAAAACCATGTGTTTTATTAACAGAATTATTATAGGAAATTACTGCATAAGGTAATACACTAAACGGATGTTCATTTGGATTTTCCATTTTTGAAATTCGAAGCATTTCTAATAAGGTTGCATGAAATCTTCCGAAAGAACCGTTTGATTCTGGATGATCTACAGTTGAAAATATTAGTAAAATAGTACTTGCTATCGATTTTGAACTTTTATCAGATATTGGATAAGCTTGAGTGAATTTTGTTAATTCGTCTCGAATTGTTAAAATTTAATTAAGTAGTTACTAATGGTTCTCTTAAATTTTTGCTATTAATTTTAGTTTTTTGGCACATT